CTGTCGACTGCATGAGGAGTGCCGTCAACAAGTCAGGCTTAGAAGCCGAGATCGCGCGAATCGCGCCAGGGTCAGCCCACGGCACGGCTGCAGGCTCTGCGGGTTGCGCCTGCGGCGGCGTGCGAGGGGCATCTTGCAGCGCTGGCAACGCTGGCAGGGCGCCCCACGCAGGCGCGGGCGGCGCTGGCAAGGCGCTCTGCGCTGGCGGCGCTGGCGCAGTGATCAGCCCGTGGCCAGCAGTCGTGAGGGTGCCCGCGTTGGCCGTCTGCTGGTCCTGCAGGGTCCGCCCGACGAACTCCAGGCCAGGGATGTCCACGCCTGCCGACCTCGGCCTGAAGGGGCGGGAGCGCCTGCCTTGAACAGGCTGAGGCGGCGCCGCCACCGAACGGTGGTTCGACCTGGCGGGGAAGCGGCTCCGCAATCCGACGATGTCGACCTGGGGGCTGGCGGGCGCGCATGGGGGGGGGATACGGAGGCGGAGGAGGAGCGTGGGAGGAGGCAGGGGAAGGAGGGGGAGGAGGGGAAAAGAACAGGAGGAGGGGGGAGGCAGTGGGGTACACCGTCATCTTGTTTCAAAACCTAGGGCCTCGTCCAAGGGGCACCTGATCGGGCCTTTCTCATCTGGCCTTAGATCGGCCCCTGGGTACATGATCTGGAATATCTCTGCAGGGAGGTCCATGGGGTTCGCGGGCAGGTCCTTAGGGGGAAGGGTCCCTCCACTTCCTCGCCCCCCTCCTCCTCCTCCTCATCATCATCCTTCTCCTCATGTTCCCCCCCCCTCCCCCCCCTCCTCCTCCTCCTGCTCCTCATCGTACTCCTCACCCCCTCCCCCCCTAATCTCCTCCTCCCTCCTCCTCCCTCCTCCTCCTCCTCTCTCCTCCTCCTCCTGCTGCTCCTCCTCCTGGGGCTCCTAGTCGCGGCGAGCCGTCGGCACTAGAAGCCCTCCTCCTCCTCCTCCTTCTGATCATATTCATTTGGCAAAGCACAGTTTTCTAAAAACTGTTTGAAGTTCAAAGCCCAGTCATCCTCGTTGGAAGTCCTCCTGGGCCGTTATTGTTGAACAGGGGGGAAATGTTCTGGGACGCGGGAGGGTACGCCCTCCCGTGCTAGGTTGCCCCATGCGGGAGGGCACGCCCCCCGTTGTTGTGCCCCACGTCCCGCCCCTCGTGCTTCTCAGCTTTGCTGTGTGTGCCCAAGACCCCGCCGCCCCCCTTGCGATGGGCGAGATCCCCGAGCCCCGCCTTCTCTCTGATCGAGCGTTGGGCTCGGTGGCCCAGCTTGGAGATATCATCGCTGCAAGAGAAAAAATAAACTCCATGACTTGGAAGCTCTTGCCGAAAGTTTAACAGAAGAGAAGGGGGCCCAACGAAAGAAAAAAAATGATAAGCAGGAATCGCAGAAAACCAAAAATGATGTGAATAAGGAGAAGAAGATGGGCAACAAGAAAAACAAGGAGGCGAATGTTGCCAGTGATTCGACCTCCCTCTCACTGGAGGAGGGGGAGGAGGAGGGGGAGGCGGAGGAGGAGGAGGCGGGAGAAGGATGATGATGATGAGGAGGAGGAGGGTAAGGGTTTCCTCGACATATGAACCATTCTGACTGAGAGCTGGTTATAAAATGCAGAGAATCCCATGCCCAAGTACCTTGGATGATGATGATGATGATGACGACGAGGATGATGTGAATCCCCGATGTGGCCCCTCTTGGGGCCCTCGTGGGCCCCTCTTGGGGCCAGGGCACACCCGAGCCAAACGATCTCCAGACCGCGCGATCTCCAACCCTCGGCGCACACATCTGCTAGAATGCGTCAGGAACACAGGAGTTCAGCCGACCATATCTATAGGCATTCGTATCATAAACACATATGTGTATATACATGTACGTACACACGGTCACATGTGCACTTATGTTTGGCTGAGCTGGCATGCGCGTACACATACATATCTTAAGATGATGAAGGCCTTCTTTGGGCCGAAGCACGTTCCATTCTGGTTGTGCACATATATGTATATATATACATGTGCAACAACAGGTTCGCCCTTACCCCTTCTCCTTTTTGTTGCGCGTCCTGGATCACGTCGAAGTGGGGCTGGAACGGCACGCGCAGGTCGCGCACCTTGTTCTTCACGTCGTCGATCAAGGTCAAGATTGCAGCAGGGGCGATCGTGAACGAAGGCGTGCGATTAAACGCCAATGTAGCAACTGCAACCAAATGAACGTAGGACGGTTCCGAAAGATAGACCAAGCCTGCGTTCACAAGAATTCGCGCCATCATCTCAACTTTGGCGTCGTACGTCGTACTCACAGATACCAGTTTCACCCACTGGTCCTTGGTGAGGTAATTCTGAATCGTGAAGCACTTCTGGTGGCGCCCAGACCCAGCGGACGCACCGCCACGCTGCGCGACCCGCCCCGTAGCGACAACACTCACGCCCACTTTGAGACCTGGGGCTCAGATGCGAGCCCCTTATCCTCCTCACCCTCCTCCTCATCCTCCTCCTCATCTTCCTCCTCGCTCCTCCTCCCTCCTCCCTCCTCCCTCCTCCCTCCCCCCTCCCTTCTCCTCTCCATCCTCTCCTCCCTCCTCCTCCTGCCCTTGGGGCTCCTAGTCGCGGCGAGCCGTCGGCACTAGAAGACCCGTTTCTCCTTGCTGCTCCTCCTCCTCCTCGCCCCCCATCTTCCTCGGGATTGCGTTTAGAGCCGCGGCACCGATCTTGTTCGCCAGCTCCTGGCGCTGCGCGCGGGTGAAGGCGTCCCCCGCCTCCGCCAGGACCCTGGCAACGACGACGAATACAAAGACGGCGACGACAACGACGACGATTGACGACGACGGGCAAAAAAGGGGAAGGTGGGGGAGGAGGTGGAGGACGCGGACGAGGTGACGGAGGAGGCGGTGGCGGAGGTGGCCTCAGACACGCCGTGGCGTCGCCAGCCGTCATGCCGACCACGTAGTCCAGCTCTGTCATGACGGCGTCGAACCTGGCAGCGGCGTCTCAACGCGTTAGTGTTGTTGCTGGTGTTGTCGGTGGTGTTGTCGGTGTTGCTGTTGTTGTCGTTGTCGATGTCGTCGTTGTTGTTGTTGCTGGTGTTGTTGTTGTTGCTGTTGGTTGGTGGTGCTGTTGGTGTTGCTGGTGTTGATGTTGCTATGGTTGGTGCTGTTGCTGTTGCTGTTGCTGTTGTTGTCGGATGGTGCTATAAGGCTAAGGGGTTACAGGGCTAAAGGCATATCGCGAAAACGCTGCAGGGCGATACTCAGGCAAATTTTTGAAATTTGCCTGATCATCGCCCCTCAGTGGTTTTCGCTCCCTTGTTGTTGTTATTGGTGGTGCTGCTGCTGATGCTGATGATGCTACTGCTGCTGCTGATGATACTGATGTTGCTGCTGTTGTTGTTGTTAGTGGCGTTGGTGTGGTTGGTGGTGGTGTTGTTTGTATTGTTGTTGCTGGTGGTTGCGTAGCTGTTAGTGTTGTTGGTGTTGGTGTTGGTAGCGTTGTAGTTGTTGCTGGTGTTGTTGTTGTAGTTGTTGTTGGTGTTGTTGTTGTTGTTGTGGTTGTTGTTGTTGTTGCTGCTGCTGTTGTTGCTGTTGGTGGTGATTGTGGTGTTGTTGTTGTTGTTTAGGGGATTGGGCCCCGTCTACCCCTCGTTTGTCCTGGGGCGACGGGGGCGGTATGCCCGCAAAAAACTAAGTTTTTTACACATTACCCAGGTGGCGGCGGTGGGAACCTTGGCGGCAGCTGGTCGCCCCCGACTGTCGCCATGGCTGCGATCAAGTCCACGTGGCCGCGCAGGGCCGCTTGGAAGTCTGCGCCAGTCAGGGTGCGTGCTGCCATTCCGTCAAATATGTTCACAAACGCAGCCAAGGCGGGGCGGACCCTCAGCGCTTGACCCTGAATGTACGACAGAGGGGGGATGGGGGGCATGTAGGATCACGCTGTATGAAGCATCGTCCCTCCTCATTCCTCCTCCTTCTCCTCCTCACTCCTCCCTCCTCCCTCCCCCCCCCTCCCCCCTCCTCCATCCCCCACCCCCCCTCCCTCTCCCTCACCCTCCTCCCCTTCCTCATCCTTCAATCTCCGCCCTCCTCCTTCAATCTCCCCCCCCCCCCCCCCTCCCCCTCCTCCCCCGCGCGTCCCCCCCCCCCCCCCCCCCCCATCTCCTCCCCCCCATCCTCCTTCAATTCTCCTCCTCCTCCTTCTCCTCCTCCTGGGGCCCAGAACTCCCGACCCCTTCCCCCCCCCAGGGGGGGCAGGATTCCCGACTTTGGGCCCCTCGACCCCCATCTGGGGGCCCAGAACTCCCGACGTTGGGCCCCTCGACCCTCGCGCCGTAGCGTCGTCCACCACCCCCCTTGGCAAAGACAACACCCGCGAAGGACGCGAGAGGGACGTGCGAGGGACTGCTGAGGGACGGCTGAGGGACGCCTGAGGGACGCGTCCCTCAGCCGTCCCTCAGCCGTCCCGCATGCGTCCCTCATCGGTCCCTCATCGGTCCCTCATCGGTCCCTCATGGTTTGGGGGTGGCGGGGTGCGGGGAGGGGGAGGGGGGGGGGGGGAGGGAGGAGGAGGTAGAGGGGGGGGAGGATCACACGGAGGAAGAGGAGGAGGAAACGGAGGATGAGGATGCGAAGGGCGAGGAGGAGGGAGAAGCAGGGTTAGGGCGATTGAAAGGAGCCCCTAGTGCTGACGGCTCGCCGCAACTAGGGTACCCACGAGCAGGAGGAGGAGGAGGGGGGAGAAGGGAGGAGGAGGGAGGAGGGAGGGAGGGAGGCGGGAACTGGGTTGGAGGTGACACTTTCACCTCAGCCTGTTGCGCACGCACGGACGGGTGCTGTCGGGAAACTCAGCTTGCGTGCTTGTTACGAGGGCCTCACGCCGCATCGGCCTGCAAGCCGCTAACAACCCACAGCTAGCGTATGGCCTAGCAAACCTCAGCGCGAAGACAACATCGTAAACCCATGTGACCAGTGGCGTGCCATCTGGACCGAAAAACTCCCCAGCTCCTCAGCTCTCATCACCCTGCTCATCGGGCTGCAACTCCTCCAGGTCCGACATGATCTTCGCATGCAGCTTCGTGGACTCCGTCAGCAGCTGCTTCGCCTTGGTAAGGCACTGCGCCACCTCCGTCTTCTCACCCACGCCCGCGGTGAGCAGCTCGTCGACGCGCTGCTTCGTCTGGTCCAGCTCCTTGCTGGCGGCATCCGCCTTATCGAGAGCCTTCTTGGCCACGAGGCCCTCTGCCTGCGGTGGCGAATGGTTTGTGATGTTATTCCTCCCCCTCCTCCTCCGCCGCCGCCGCCTCCTCCTCCTCCTCATCCTCCCCCCTCCCCCCTCCTCCCTCCTGCCTCCCTCCTCCTCTCCCTCCCCCCCTTCCTCCTCCTCCTGCTCTTGGGGCTCCTAGTCGCGGCGAACCGTCATCACTAGGAGCCCCTTCTCTCCCTGCTCCTCCTCTTCCTCCTCCTCTCGCCTCCTCGGCCTTTGCCTCGAGGACGGCGGCCGCCATCTTGACCGCCATCTCGCCGAGCTTCGGCGAGGCCTTGGTGAGCTCGTTCTTCTGCCCCCTGCCTATGACAGGGGCGGTCGATTTCTGGGGCTTCACGCGAGGTGCAGCCTCTGCGTCGGGAGCCTCGGCCTTGATGCGCTTGGCCTTCTTCGTAAAAGTCTCGGTGGCCATCGAGATCCTCTTCTCGTTCTGCGAGCTCGAACCCTGCGACATGCTCATGTTGTAACGGGGCTCCCACACCATATCGCACTGGTACTCGGGCGAGAAGAAGCCGTGACTGTGGGTGATCAGTATCTCCACGTCCGCCTTCTTGCGCTTCCCACTCTTGACGTCATCCCACAAGTCGCGCACCTTCACGAAGCCACCATCAGCCTTGAACTCCATTGACGACTTCTTGACCATGAGCATCATGGCGGACGCTTGGAGCTTCTTCTTGAGGTCGTCGCCCATCAAGCCGTTGTTCTCTTGGAAGAAGGTCACCCTGTCAGCTTCGCCCATGTCGGTCAAGACGGTCTGGAGGCTCTCGTTGTTGCTGGTGATGCGCTCGACGCGCTTCTTGAAGGCCGCGCAAGGCTTGCACCTGAGCTGCTGGGAGATCTCAGTGATGGGGTTCTCGCCCCTGACGTTCGACCTCTGATCCCAAGGCTTCTTCTGGCGGCAAGTGCAGCACGTAAACTCCATCGGGGTCACGCACGTGGGCTGCTCTGGCAGTGTGGCAAGCGCCGTTGCCTCAACCAGAGTCGGCATGGAACCTGCGGACATCGCGGGACCTTGGAAGAACTGGTTGCGCCCGATTGAATCTTGAAGGGGCGGGGGGGTGCCCTGGCGACGCGGCGGACCGTCACACACCTGAGCTGAAATTGCAACAATGTAGACAACAAAAAAGGTGCAGCGGCCAGCCGTCACGCACCCCAATCTATGTTTCAAACCATCGCACCCAAGGAAACTCGCTATTTCAGACCCACGTCCCCGAATGCATACAACGGCTGCGCGCGTGTACACGCGCACAAAAGCACAGCTCGATCACGGTGCTTGTTGCCCCGCTATCCTACAACATGTACGGGTGGCGGGCACTCTCAGATGAAGTACGCCCTGCGAGCGTGCACGACCTCTCGCACTACTGCTTCGAGCGCAGGAATGTCATTGAAGCCCTGATCCTCCACGTCGCCTGCAGTCATCTCGAGAACCCTTCCAGAGACCACGAACGCTGGCTGCTCGGGGCTGATGGTCGTCGCGAAGCTCCTTGCACCTGCGGGCGGGCTTGGTCGGCAAGAGGACGGTGTGCTGGAGGCATCTGCGGGCAAGCTGTCGCCCTGAAGCCGTGGGGGGTCGCACTCCATGCTCCAGTCGTCGTGCGCAGGTATGTCGCGCACATTGCTGTCCAAGTACCGAGCTGTGGCAGCCTGCGTGGCCTGCTCAGCCGCCCTCCTGGACATGTCCGTCAAGCTGTCAGCGCTGATGCCGTTCTTCTGCAGGATGCCCCACGTCATCGAGACAGCTGCTGCCTCCATGCCCAACGGCCCCTGAAGAGGTGGGGCAAGCCTGCCGCCCCTTCAGCGGCCACTGCCCCCCGCCCACTCCGCGACGGCGTCGACGGGGTGGGGGTGGGCCTTGGCCGACGCAAGGGGCAGGTAAGCTTGGCCACCCCCAACCGTAATCTTCAGCGTCTTCACCTCGTTCCTCCGTGCTCGATGCTGGACCTCGCAGCCCACGGCTCTCCGGATGAGGCCCTTGTCCGCAGACGTGACTTTGCCCTCAGCCTGGGGCACCTCGATGTAGAAGTGAGTGGGCTTCTTTTATGTGTAGCAATTATATTACAAGCCATCTTGAGACAAAACGGCCATGCAGCCGCGGCGCGCCGTCTGAGCTGCAGGAAAGAGGAGATGGGGGAGAAGGGGATGGCAAGAGAAGGGGGAGGAGTCGTTGTTGTCGTTATCGCAGCCGTCCTCGTCGTGATTGTTGTCGCCGTTGCCGTCGTCATTGTCGTTAGCCGTTGTGTTCGTCGTTCGTCGTCGTCGTCGAGATCATTGTCGTCTGTCGTCGGCGTCGTAGTCTCCGTCGTTGGTCGTCGTGGCAGCCGTGGTCGTCGTCACCCTTGCGTTTTATCTAGCGACGGTTTGCCGCGCCCACCTCGTGTCCCCCCCTCCTCCTCTTCCTCCTCCTCCTCCTCCTCCGCCTCCTCCTCCTCCTTCTCCTCCTCCTCCTCCCTCCTCCTCCTCCTCCTCCTCCCTCCGCCCTCCTCCCTCCTCCCTCCTCCTCCTCCCTCACCCCTCATCCCTCATCCCTCATCCCTCATCCCTCCCCCCTCCTCCCTCCCTCCTCCTCCTCCTCCGCTTCCTGCTCCTCCTCCTCTTCCTTTGTCTCCTTACCCCACTGGTTTGTCTCAGCCAACGCTGGGGGGCAAGGGTCATTCACTGCACTCCGAAGCCAGCAAGCCCGGGCACAAACGGTTGAACGCCATCGTCGTGTTGAAACCAATGGAGCGTCTGAACTACGCAAGAAGCAAGGGAAACTGACAACTTGGCGTCTGTCAACATACGATCGGGGTTTCCTGCAGAACGGTTGAATTTCATATAGATTACAACGCAAGGCCGATCACGGCTACCCATCCGCAAACACGAACATAACATAACGATGCGACCAACTACGTGCCCATGTCTCGTTCGAAGCCGCGCGGCGCCGAAGGCGCAAGCAGGCGTGAGGAACCAGGACGGCGCTCCCGCCTGAGACTTCGTCACAATTGCGGGCATCCCAAGGAAACGCAACATCTCCACCACGCCCTACCCTCTCTCCACTTTCCCGCAAAACGCGTTCCTCCCCCTCCTCGCCCCCCGCGTCCTCCCCCCCCCGCCCTTGCCCATTCCAGCCCTGTAGGATGAGGAGGAGGAAGAGGAGGAGAAAAAGAGGACGGGGAGGAGGAGGAGGGGGGAGGAGGAGGACGAGGGGGGAGGAGGAGGAGGAGGAGGGGGAGGAGGAGGAGGAGGAGGAGGAGGAGGAGGAGGAGGAGCCTCTTGTTGCTGGCGGCGAGCGCGGAAGCGCGATGATGAGTACGAAATCATATTTGGCAAGCGTTCCCACGACGGCGTGCACCCGCGTCGAATAGTGCACGTCGTGATTCGACCCATCTGGCACAATGCGTACAACCGCTTGTATGACATCGTTTTCAGAACAAGGCTTCGGGTTGCACAGGCGCTCGGGAACGCACTCGAACCCGTCTGGCGCGAACATGTCCAGAACGCTCCGCATCAGAACGTGATCCTCCCAATGACGGCCACGGCCGTAATCTGCAACGCACTTGGCCACGCGGCGCCGCCGCTCCACGGCGAAGCACGAGAGGTTCGCCTGCCACTTCTCCATGGCAGGACCGATGTGCATGCTGTAGTGCCCTTTGGGCTTGACCTCGTCTGCCTCGTAGGCGGCGATAAACGCGCGGTGGTGCCGATCAACGAGAGTTGCGAGGTGGCCAGGCATCTCCACGGCGCACGGCGAGCACAACAAATCTATGATATCACACATGAGCAGGAACGACTCGACTTGTAGCGGCACTTTGCCCGCAGGTACAAGAACGCATACCGTGAACGCCAACAAAGGTGCGATGGCAGACAGCGTCGTAGAAGCGAACCCGCGGACGTGGCCGTTGACTCTGTCCACCACGTGCTGCTCGAAAAACCGCCGCGGTGCCTTGGCCTTACCAGCGGGGTACTGCAAATGGCTTGCACACAAATCGATTCTGGCCTTGTCCCACCCCTCGTCAACAAGTGCGTGCACATACATGTTCATCTCGCACTGGCACGAACCACCACTTGCTAATTGGTTGTGCATCCAGTCAAAGAAAGTACCAGAGACGGGCTTCACATGCTGGCGAAGCGGGATGTCGTAAACCAAACCTTCACTGTCGTACGTGATGCCGTACGCCTTCTCCAGGCGCCTGAACTGAGCAACGCTTGCCACTGGTGTTTGTACTTTGAGATCATCTGCCATCTCCCAATACTGGTCGTCTGACTGGGCCAGAAAATCACCTGACACGCCCACCTGAAAGTTGACCAAACCGCCGCCTGCCACAAGCCTGGACGGGGGGATGGACGTGACATTGCGGCAGCAATGGCACGGGCGAAGTCCACCTGACCCCTTGAAGCCCCAGGTGTATTTGTGTGCCCGTTCATCTTGGATGAACGGGCCCATTTGCAATCTAATTGGGAAGGCCCTTGCTGGACCAGTCACTAACACAGCACCGCGGCTCATGTTCCCAAAAAACAAATGACACGTCTGTTGAATTATAGTTGACAAACCACTAAGTACGTTTGATTGTTCCGCCACCCTCATCATTCCAAACACCATCCAGCCGTGAGTTCTCGTGCGCCACCAGTGGGGCATCTCCAGCAATGACCAATACACGCACTGCAAGCTGCGAGACGTGTCTGTCTCAGGCCTGAGAGCGCTGCCAGGCGTGGTCTCGTCGCTGTACAGCGCAACCGTGAGCGGCCTCGTCCCGTGGGCGGTCGCCTCATAGATCATGGCAGCGAACGGGGGCGATCGTCTACACCTGGGCTGATGTGTCAGAATCCCCCCCTCGTCCCCCCAATTTCGTTCTCCCCCTTCGCCTCCGAGGAGGAGGAAGGGGGATGGGGAGGGGGAGGGGGAGGAGGAGGCGGAGGAGGAGGGAGGAGGAGGAGGAGGAGGGAGGAGAGGGGGGAAGGGGCAAGGAGGAGGGAGGATGGAGGAGGAGGAGAATGAGGAGAAGGAGGAGGAAGGCCTTCCTCCCCGATCAACGGGGTAGAACGGATTTGGGCCCAAACTTGCCGTTCGAATAGCAAGGCAAACGGGTTCACCACGAGCCACTGCATATCAGGGGCCCCGTCTTTGCAACGAAGTGGGATTATGTGCATCAGCGGGCCTGCTGGTGTAAGAACGTTCACGTGTTCATGTAGTTGTCGCTGAGTTGTTGACAGGCTGCGGCCAATATATGATGCTTCGGCAATATCGTAATGTTCTCTGAAGTCTTGGTCCAAGCGCTGAATCTGCCGTAAAGAAAGGTTCGTGTGCCTCTGTGCTATACATATTTCTACTCGTGGTCGCTTCGACATCAAAGTCTTGGCCCAAAAAAATTGTCAGCGGCGAGCCGTCTGACAGCTGCGGAAAAGAGAATGAGGAGGTGGAGGAGTAAGATGAGGCACACCTTGCACATTGACATCCTGGGTTAATCACAAGTTAATGTGAAGTTAATGTCAAGTTAATCTCAAGTTAATCTCAAGCTAATCGAATAGGAATCGTTTGCAATCGTTTGTGTTCATCTTTATAATGCTATTGCGGTTGGCATTGCATTCGATTAGGACGAAATAGAGCGTGACATATTAGGAATCATTGTAGGGATTGCAATCCTTGCAATGTGATTGTTAATTGACCGAGACTCCTAAATAGATTGCAACGATTAACTACGATTGTAAATGATTGCTATGGATTGCAATCAATTGCAATGCGCATTGCAATTGATTGCAAACGGAATGGAATCCCGACAACCGCAAGACCCATCAAGTGGGGGCCTCTGAGCTCGTCCGGGTCTCCCCCCGGACGCTGCCCCTCGCAGTGGGCCCCGGAGACGGCAGGACCGTTTTTTCGCGGCTTCCAGGAGGTGCAAGACGACGCGAAGATCGGGACAAACTCGGATCGGGATAATTCGAAATCTCTGAGAATCGGCGGGTTTGGAGGATGTATTGGGCGCCGCGGCCGCTCTCAGAGCGTTCCGGAACGCTCTGAGAGCGCTC